ATAGGGTTTAGTATGAGGGTTTTACTTATACCTGATAAACAATTGCACTACCTTTTTACAATTCAGCATCAGGGTTCATGCACATAGGTGCATTGGGGTATACAACGTCAAAGGTCTGGCTTTTTTTGTACCCAGGAAGCCCAGGTGGTGCCAGGCATGAATCGCTGTGGGTAGCTGTACACGGGTATATACCAGTACTTGCATAAACCTGCATTTAGCATTAAGTCAGGGGAATACACCCGTATGCGAAATGCAGATTTACACGAGTAACGGCATGTACCCACATACAGCTGTGCACAGCCATTGATGTCACACATGACAATCCTAACCCACCTCCACAATGTTCACATGCAGCTATAGTGGTCAATGAGAGCTTGTTTTAAAGCTAAGTTACTGCTTTAGTACATATACTGTACTGCACTAAAGCAGTAATGTATATTTTTGATTGTCCATAGCCTGGTCCAGGGGTGGGCAACTCCAGCCCCCCAGCTGTGCTTTAGCTGCAAATTCCAAAATGCCTCTGCCTCTGGAAGTCATGGCTGTAACAGTCAGTCTTGCAATGCTTCATGGAGCTTGTATTTCCACCACAGCTGGAAGGCCGGAGTTGCCCACCACTGGCCTGGCCACAGCCTGGTCCAGGGGTGGGCAATTTCAGCCCTCAAGCTGTGCTTTAACTGCAAATTCCAACATGCCTCTGACTGTGGGATTCATGCCTGTAACGCTCAGTCCTGCAGTGGCTCATGGAACTTGTGACCAAATACCGCAACTTAGTCCAGAGTCTGGTCCACTGCCCTGCTTATCATCTATGTACATAGCATGGTAGGAGGGTGAGGAATAATACTGGATAGGTTCATTCTAAGATGTGAATATTGTATTGAAGACCTGTCCTACATAAAGCCTTTCCTTCTTTGTACTATTCACTAATGCTCACCCCTTGCCCTTATTACCATTAATCAGGATATAATAATACAGCAAGAGCACACACAATACTATTTTATCATTCATATAAACACAAAAAACACAAACAATATGTTCAATAATCAGATGTAACAAAGGCTGAATGGGCCATGGAATTAAAAGAGGGGTGGACAGATTCATTCAGAATTCAGGAACCAGTCTGTCCAATCCAGGGCCCACCAAGATTTTCACACAGGGCTTGGGAACAAAGTGCCTGTGAGCTAAGTGGCGTTAAAAAATTGGATTTGAGCTGTTTGGGATATATTGAGTGCTGAGTGCTTGATTTTTGGAATACTAGTTGTCTCTGCTTCCTTCCTTCCCTTTTAGACCCTTTTTTAGTATTTAAAAACACTTTTTCCTTTTCTGTCAGTTTTTAAACGGTTCCCTTTTTTTCCCTCAGGTTTGCAGTGCTCTGGTTAGGGGGAGGGGTTAATTGATCTCAGCTGTCTCTCATTGAGCAGGTGTATTATAAACTAGTGCACCACTCATTTTGAGCTTGCTCACACAGGGCTTGGGAACAAAGTGCCTGGTAGCTAAGTGGCGTTAAAAAATTGGCGTTTAACCTGTAAGTAACATCTTTATTTTCATATCAATTTTATAAATATTGCAACTGGGATCATAGTTGTTAGCATGGTTGAAGGGTTTGTTCAGTGCACACTGTGCCACATGTATGCACAAATGGAGCCACAGCTCCAAGGTGAATACCGCTGTGACAGATGTGAGCAGATTGCACTTCTGGAAGCTCAGATTAGAGATCTGGAAGAGTGGAATGCAACACCGAGGAGACTTGACAACCTTGAGAGGAGTCTGCTGATCACTGAGCAGGCAGTTAATGGGGTTGATGTGGAGGGTGGAGGGGTAAGTGAGGATGATCAGGTAGGAAGCTGGGTTACTGTAGCTAGAGGGAGTGGCAGGGGCTCACAGAAGAGGAAGGCCAATCCTGTGTTTGTGCACCCAAACAAATTTGCTAAGTTGGGTGAAGATGTGCGGGTCTCAGACTCAGAATTGGCAGCCCTAGATGTCGCTGCTACCCCTAACAGCCGGGAGAGCAGCACATCTAGTCCGGGTGGTGAGGGTATTGCAGGTTTTCTCAAAAGTTGGGGGCCAGCTATAATTCTTAAGTACCATTGCCTACCTGGCTCTTGGGATTTTTCCAACGCTGGATTAAAGGGTAACTCAATGCAACAAATAAAATCAGACTGCTACCTTCAGCAAGGCACTGAAACCAGTCAGATTTTGCCTAAAGCAGAGCTCCAGAACTGCAAGCCCATTGCCATGACCCAAAGATCAAAACTATCACCTGAACTCTAGTTGTAGAATAACTTTTAGGTCTGCTGTCTGCATAGAATAAGCAGTTACCGCCCTCGATGCTATCCTGCTCCCTAGAACAGCATCCCTCTGAGTCCAACAAGCTACTGCTGCTTATTTTCAGTGGCTCAGGGTTGGTTCTGCATGAGTTTCCGGGGCACTGACTGGACACTTAGGTAGAGGCTAAGATGCAGAAGCATCAGAGAAGCAGCAGCTGGTTGCATCAGGATGAAAGCGGCTACAGAGAACATAAGCATAGGCAACAAGGCTGTAACTGTTATTCATTTCATGGGAACTATAAGTGAGAGCAGAAGACCTAAAGTCATATTTTGACATTAGCTCTGCTTCAAAGTGAACTGGGAGCAGGCATGAATACATTTCTGACATGTCACTATATACAGCAATAGTAAATTGTCAATCAGCAATTGGAAAGGGGAGCAGAGGAGTGGCCTACCGTCTTGGGTATCAACTTCAGTAGACATAAGTAGACTTGTCCATGTAGCCAAGTGCATTTAGCCAAGTGCGGCCACAAGCAAACGTGGCTTCATGGGTCCCTGTAAGGGGATAGAGCTATCTGAAGGAATTTACACAGGAGGATAAAGGAAAAATGGACCTGCAAACAAGATAAGTGCTTGGGTCTACCACACTATAATTAGGTCTTATTGTCACTTTAAGGACCCTTATAATCACTAAGTTGACTACCACTGCCATAGAGTGTCACTTGAGTGACAGCTCTGAGCCTGCTGGGGCTGCTGACATCACATCCAAGATGGCGGCACCCAACAGCGGCCTTGGGGCTTTTGGCTGTCTATATAAAGCAGGTTTTCCCAAATATATACGAGATATAAAACACTTTAAATGCACATATGATCTTATGGGAAGGTTTTTGTTGGTCTGGGCAGTGGGGAAGCATGACATTCTGTCACCCGGTGCAAAGGCTTTTCCCAGTGACGCCCGTCCTAAAGCATCACATGGGACACATGCTCCCACCAGCTTCGGCACTGAGTTTGGCATTAGGGTCTCTTTAAGTGAAGGCACATGTCTATATATAGGTCTTCTAGATCAAATGTAACTATCGCCTGAATGATGCCAATTCCTATCAGTCCCAGAAGAACGAAATCACATTTCCTAAAACCCCGGCCTTCACAAACGAGGATGGATAGAAGGAACGTGCTTTTTGCAAATCCCACTCGGGCACATTTCCAGTTGTGAAATGGAAGCCGAGCGCGACGTTCCAAGGGATACACAACAGGTGTGACTTCAGGAAAAAAAAAACTACACCTGGCCGCATTTCATACTTGGAATACCAACTTAATCAGACTTTTCATCTGTCTCAAAAAAATTTACATGTCACGCACCATCTGGGGGTAGGGGGATCTATTCTGCACCAGCCAATTAACCCCCAACTTCCCGGACCTCACTCGACGGGCCTTATGCCTGTTACGGCTTGCACCAAAGGCTTCCTCGTTTTACAATCCTACACGCCTTTTGCCTGTCAATTTAATTAATCGCTGGTGTTTAACAAGGTATTAAACATGAATAAAACGCTAATCACACCATTAGTAACCTTTCACAAATAAAATCGCGTTTACTAGCGCGACTCGGCCTTAAAATAACGACAAATCAGCCGTAATATGGCCGATTTGTTTAACAAGTAAATGTAAATTAAAAGTAAGGAAGGGAAGGGGGGGGGGGTGAGAGAAAAAAAGTTTTCTTTAGGCGCTGATATGTTCCAATAATTAGCTGCATGAATGATGCCCAATTGTGTAGCGGCTGTGTTTTCAAAACCATAACATTCGCCTATAAGGCGCGCACACAATATGCGGCCGGGCGGCTTTGTGCAAACTTGATCGCCCATGTCATTCCATTTAACGCTTATCCACAGCTGAATTCCTGGCACTGAATGGAGCTTCTTTTGTGTCTATTGAGACTGAAAGAGAGACTCACGAATAACATCATTTGGAGGACAATGAAGGACTTTTTTTTTTTTGCTCTCGATGGTCTTAAAAAAAAGTTTTGCAAGTCTACAAAAATGTAGAACAGCTTTATATGAACTCCCAGTGGGGCGCGTGCTGTTCTACCAGAAACATTTTTTGTTACATCACAAAGTCATCAAAAGCTTTTAGAAAAAGATTTTGAATCGACAGTTGGCCATACTGGACCAAGATTGTTTCATGATGCAAATGATGTGCCACAATCTCTCTGCATAGTAATCTGCAGTCATACTATATGACAAATATGACAAATCCAGGGGGGACCGCTCCATATTGACTGGGTGGATTGCCACTTTCTGCCAACTTTATTTAAAGTTACATTAAACTCAGGAGTTACATCTTAGAAAATACATTCAAGTGCCATAACTGGTTGTGGTAGCGGGGACACACTGAGCATGCACAAGACGGCAGCCGGCAATTATGTTTACTGTCGGCGGCCATCTTTTTGGTGGTAAACAGCGCCAGAAGACAAGCGTCATCACCCTGCACGGTGTCTGTACACTTGCTGTACGGACACTTGCGCATTGTCTGCAGGGCAAGTGTACGGACACGGCGACAGATAAGCGTCTTCACCCCACAGCTCTGGGTTGTAGTTGAGTATTGCAGCAAAAGCTGTTATTTTTTTTAGCTTTTATTGGGCTATTATATTTTTCCAACTAGAGATCTGCTCTAAAGGGGCGGGCAAAATTGGGGCAAAACTCATACAAGTGGGTGCAGTTACACTTGAAATCACCTACTTACAGCCATTTGATGCTTTGGCATATCCTTATGTGTAGAATGAAGGTCAATACAGTCCCAACAAAGAGGTGAATCTTCATCTTCATCAGCGCTCCAATCCAAACTGATCCAATGGGGGTAACAGAGGGGTCCCAGAGTACTTCCTGCCGAGTATCTTCAACCGTGTCCCATCCGCTGTCACTGATAGGAGGAGTCCTTCCTCAGGAGTGGAGCCTGCACACAGAAGAGGGAGATGTAACAATGGGGGGGTCATGGTAAAATCTATCACTCTCATATTATTATTGCATTGCTCTCCTTATAGGACAAGATCATATAAAGGGGCTCTATTTATAAATGTTTGTTACACAAGTTTCATTAAACTTTCACCCAAGATTCACAATTTTATCTAACCGGATTCAATTGGAAAAATGTGGGAATCCTGGATGACAGCGGAGTTATTCTTCTGTAAAAATGTATAAAACAGACCCCAAAACCCGAACCCTGTGTAACCCCCAACAATGAACTTCTCTTCTTTGCTTCCTTTTGGTCTGTTACATATACCACTGAATGTTCTTTTATAATGTCTGTTCTATAAACACCCCGGTGATCCCGCCAGACATGCAGAGAGCTATCTAGATAGCAAGGATAACTTGCCACAAACTTGTGTCAGGGTTAAATTGTGATTCTTGTTGACTTGCTGCACACATTCCTGGCAAGTTGTAGACTTGCAGAACACTCGCAGCACAAGTTCTAGGCGACACTTTTTGAATTTGAAACAAATTTGCTTGGCAAGTCTACAGCAAGAGTCCTGCAGGTCTTAGCAAGAGCTCTGCAAGTGTATAGCACATTTGCAAAGCACGTTGATCTGGAGACTTGCAATGCAGACTTGCTGTAATTGTGCAACAAAATTGTGAAGCTTGGCAAGTCTAGCAATAGTTTAGCAAGTCATTTTCAAACTTGCAGCTCAATTGCTTGCTATCTGTGTACTAACCCCCACTCTGCAGTATTATATCCAACAATGTTATCAGGACTATGAGAGGATCTCCTCCCACCTCCTGTTATTTCTAACGGAGAGCTAATGAAGAGAAATTGCCCCGACAGGCCTAAATAAAAACTGGTGGGGGAGGGTGACAAATAATAACTTTGGCTTTAGATAAACTTTAAAACTACACATTCCCTTCACCTTTACAAATAATAATACTCTCACAACTACTACTGCCACCACCACCACCAATACTATAATTACCCCCACCACTACTACTACCACTATTGTTATCACCACTACTACTATTATTACCGCCACTTTTGCCACCACCACCACTACTACTACTACTACTACTACTACTACTACCACCACCACCACCACCACTACTATTATCACCACTACTACTACCCCCACTACTATTATTACCACCACTACTACTATTATTATCACCACTACTACTACTACCATCACCACCACTACTATTACCACCACTACTACTACCACCACCACTATTATTATCACCACTACTATTATTGCCACCACTACTACTACCACCAACACCACTACTATTATTACTACCACTACTACTACCACCACCACTACTACTATTATTATCACCACCACCACCACTACTATTATTACCACCACTACTACTATTATTACCACCACTACTACCACCACCACTACTATTATTACCACCACTACTACTACTACCACCATTACCACTACTACTACTATCACCACCACTACTATTATTATCACCACCACCACTACTATTGGTACCACCACTACTACTACCACCACCATTACCACTACTATTATTACCACCACTACTACTACTACCATCACTACTACTACCACTACTACTACTATCACCACCACTACTATTATTACCACCAACACTACTACTACTACCATCACCACTACTACCACTACTATCACCACCACTACTGTTATTACCACCACTACTACTACTATCAGCGCCATTACCACTACTATTACTACCACCACTACTACTACTATCACCACCACTACTATTATTACCACCACCACTACTACTACTATCACCACCACTACTACCACTACTACTACTACTATCACCACTACTACTACTATCAGCACCATTACCACTACTATTACTACCACCACTACTACTAATAATACCACCGGTACTACTACTACCACCACCATCTACTACTAATACCACCACCACTACTATTACTACCACCACTACTACTACTTCTACTACCACCACCACCATCTACTACTAATACCCCCCACTACTATTACCACCATCACTACTACTGCCACCACCAATAAGAATAATAATAATAATTATTATTATCATCATCATCAGTATTATTATTACACTGATCTTGTCTCCACCCCCTCCTGTAATAAAGACCACTCACTGCTGATCTCTCTCCTTGTGCAGGATGACTGGTCTTGTCTCCGCCCCCTCCAGTAATAAAGATCGGTCACTGCTGCTCTCTCTCTGTGGGCAGGGTGACTGGTCTTGTCTCCACCCCCTCCTCTAGTTTTTTACAGGTAGCCTGTGGAGGGTGGGGCTTGCTTGGTCCCTCCCACAGCTCTTCTCTCTGCACATGCTATGATGTACGGCGCGGATTTCTTTCTCGTTAACCCCCCACATGTGGCCGGACTCGGATGTCTGTTTATTTTTTCTCTATATAGGTTTACATGCCGGGGAAGTGAAAATCAAATTTAAGACCCGGCGCTGATCCTGAGACATTGAAAATAATTGTCACCGGAGAGAAAGTGAGGACACGGCGCTGACCCCCGCCGCGGTGATTAGCGTGAACGCCAAACCCCTCCTCCTTCTCCTCTACCCATCACAGATGTTGGTGTGCGTCTTTTACAATGAGGGGGGATGTAATATATGTGACCCCCTTTATTATACTTCTCACTTCATTAACTTTCTAACTTCAATAAACAAACACAGGGGGCGCGAGAATTCATTCCTTCAAAGTGCGCCGAGAGGGGAATCCGGACCGCGCCGTCCACACATCCAAAACCAACATATTGTATTCTATGTTCTATTATAGTGTATGTGATGTGATCAAATATGGCCGCCATCCATCTACACGGGTGTTTACAATGCATACAGAGAGCCCAGAGATCTACAACATTGTCACACGATAGATAGATAGATAGATAGATAGATAGATAGATAGATAGATAGATAGATAGATAGATAGATAGATAGATAGATAGATAGATAGATAGCTTCTGTCACCCCTTGGGGCTATTTAGAGCCCATTTGCACCCTTAAAGACCGACAAGAACCACCCAGATTTTACCTACCCCCTTTGACTCCCAAGAATTTCTCAATAATGGCAAAATTCGCCGAAATCTAGCGATTCTGTATAAA